ACTTGGCATGTGGCATCTTCATATAGTTGTTGAATGAGGCGGATAAAGGTTTGCGGTACTCCGTAGTATTGAAGCAGTTTCCAAATTACTTCTCGGTCGACGCTGTCAAAGGCCTTCTTAAAGTCGATGAAGTTGAGGTATAGAGCTGATTGCCTCTGCTTTACTCTATAGGATGTTTATTCTATCACTGGATAAATAGTAAACCAGTTGAATAATCTGAACAATTTCATCAATTTCAGTCAAACTACACCTTTTTTTACCCTTCACTTCAAACGAAACATTCTCGTCGATTTAGTACAGGTACGTCTATCAGTTGTAAAACAGCTGTACTGAAGTATATGCACAATTCACGATAATTTGTTTAAAGTCCCATTATACTGAAGAATGATGATTCAAGCAGAATAACATGGTATTATTTCGCTTTCATCATCTTTCTCAGTTGACGATATAAGTTTGAAAGCAGTTGTACATACTTGACTTTATTAGATGGGTGAAATTCAGTGATAAAAAAAGATAAATTGATGCAAGAAGATTGAACTCTGTCGAAAGTGAATAAGTTACTCATAAAAAGTCACTGGAAGCTAGTTTATTTGTCAGAAGAGAAAAACTGAAGTCAACGTAGTGACTAAGTGAATTTGTGTAGTAGGTAATGAGCCATAACTAACCTGTGAGGGCTCATGGTAACACCTGGATATCCAACGAGACCTCAGTAGATGAAGTCCCGGCCGATAACTGATCACTTGACGTGGTGGTCAGGCTTGCATATTACAATGACCCAACCAACTATGCTGGTTTGGGGTCGGAAAAGTCTGTTAGACAAGACGAAAAAGTTACCGTTGTAGTGTAAACTGTTACACTATGATAAGGGGCCTTAGAACGAAGTTGTACTGCTGCTAGCTGGATGGGGTGTAACAGCACTATGGCGTTGATACTGCCTTCTCAGTGGTAGGAGGGATTAGAAAAGGTCAGTCACAAAAATATCACATCTCGCCCCATGATCTTCTGGTGCTGGCGATATAGGTTTTGTCTGTTCCAGATGTTAGAAAAACCGAATCTGAAAACAACTAATCCACAAAATGCTGTGCGACAGGCCTCGAGTAGATGTCCCATGGGCTCTACGGTCACACAAATCATTTTCTCTCTCAGATACCTTAGGAAGAGATAACCTCCCACGGTGTGGATAACCGGCAAGTGTCAACTATCCGCACGCTTGCAGTCCAGCTGTTAGAGCGAAGTGGCAATTCTCGCCTTTTCATCACATCCATGTTTTGAAGTAAAAAAAAAAAAAAAAAACTGAAAGACTTTCTTTTTTTCTCCTCTTTGAGACAAACTTTGAATTACTTCAGAAAACAGAACTTTCTCGAGATCACTTTAGAAAGTACATGAAACTGTACACAGACAAATTATGAAGTTTGCATAATTACAATTAACAGAATGCAATACACTTATTACCAATGAGTCTACTTAAACATACACACATGTTACGAAAATCAAGCAATCTGCCGTAAAACAAACACTGATTACTTTTAAGCAAAACAGAAATAGGCACAGAAACTGTTTTCTGAGCATATGTATATCAATTCTAAGCATGAAAACAGTTTAGACCTTCATTCGTTCTGCTTTTATTATCTTTCTCAATTATTATTATTCCATTGGATCAACTGACCTTTCTCATTATATATATATATATATATATATATATATATATATATATATATATATATATATATATCACGACACATTCCAGATAATCTCCGTCTTCCCATTATGTTATTTTTAAATAAGGATGCAGGTTCCAACTAATTAGATCCAAGTGACAAAAAGCAACTACCATAATATCAGATGGGTTGGGCGAACAGATGTGTTCTCTGCGATTGGAACGCATTTTATTCAGACATACATACATCAAGAGGAGACGATTAGGCCTTCTGCTAAATACATTTCTGGGTAATGATACTTATTTAAGTCAATCAAGTATACACTTATGAATTTACAGAATTCATACGATGCTAGAAGACTTACCAATAATAGTAGGTACGATAAAGTCAAATTAGCAAAAAAAAACTACCTTCGACTAGCAGCAAACAGATCGGGGAAATCAACGCAGAATACGTACACAAGTGCATCACATCAATTTGCTACACTTCACAATAGTACACAAAGAAAAAGTGGATAGAAGAATACTGATATCAAGGTAGACAAAGGTGCATGGGAGAATAAAAGTCGAAGATAAAAGACGGTGAAAATATTCAAGATACATCAGCCGTAATTGTGACCGGTTTTCAAACATTTCACCGAAAATCCTCAACCACTGGTCTCTACAGTCTTGAGGACCTTAGCCACACAGTCTACACCTGCCTAGATGGCAGGCATCGATATCAGGTCTTGAGCCATCTCCCAACCTAATTGTACTCCAGGTAGCTTTGTACATCGAGGCAGGTGGTGGTTCAGCATGCCCAAAACGTGTCCCATCCGCCTTATTCCATGAAGGTTCTCAGTCTTATCGGTTAACTTGTCTGTCTTACTTAACACGCTCATCTAGTGATCCTACCATACGTGAACAATGCTTTGAAAACATCAGTGCTCAGAAATCTGTAATCCCTTGACATATATACCTCAAAAGACTATGTCACACAGCCTAATATAATATGACAGATTAGACTGCGATGCAGTATCCTGATCCTTTAACAAGCAGTTGGGTAACCCACAGATGTTAAATATGCCTTTTATATCTGAGATGAGATTTCATCAGCAACCAACCTGGTTAGAATGATGCAACCTCCCAAGTGAGTGAGGTGATCAGTGACTAACATCTGCTCAGTCACATGAAATTACAAGTCAAGCCAACACCAAGATGATGTTCACCACCGTCCCAGTTAACACATAATACATTGTCAAAAACATTACATTAAGTGTACGATCAATTAATTATAGGATGCGCATAGATGGCAACAGAAATCAGGATGACAAGTTGAATTATAAATGTCCCAGCTATATCAAAATGATGCTATCCAAACTGTAAACAATGAAATCAAATTTTCATGCCACATGCTGGAATTAACTGACAGTGTAAAATATTACTTACACTGATGACTACCCGAAGGTGAAAACATGGTCACTGCAAGAATTAAAGCCGATGGTCTTAATTCCTTCCTAGGAGGAATGGCTGGGATTGTTAAACACTCTTCCCAGTTAATACTTTCATATGATAACAGCCATCTTGACAAACACGTACATTCTATACAGCCTAACTATTAGGTGCATACGGCTGAAGATTCCCATGCTAGGACAAAATAGCTAGCTGTCCAGTGCTTATTACTGACGCGTTTCGAGGTGAGATTCCAGAATTTCTAATGAGAAGTAGAGACCGACAGGGTAAAATTAAGTCGAACATGACGAGGCATATTCAACGACCGTACTGGCTGAACTTCGTGTTCAATCGTAAACTGACAGAAGTAGGAATAAGTGAACCATTGGATTCTGAATCAGCAGCTGGCTTAGCGGTAACATGGTTGTCGTGGGACCGGAAGTCCTAGGTTCAATCTCTGACCAGGTGATAGATGCGCAGTGCTGAGGATTCCCATACCCGGACGAAACAGCTAGCTAGCTATCCATTGCTTTCAGATTTCTAATGATTCTCCAGTTGATGTCTGTTCGTGATGAATACTAACCTTGAAATCAAGAAAATCCCTATACACCTACAAAACTGATATTAGGAAAGTATTTAGGTAATCATTAGAAATCTATCCTAGGTATAATGTTCCAATAATCGACCGATCGATCGATAGAAATATATCCACTTACAAACAAATAAACTCGAATCAGTCCTATGCCCATCAGTTCTCAAGTGATTATTCAAGACTACTCATAGTGACAAGTAGATAAAGTATTTTCTGTCTAAGAGGCTATTAAGACTGTAAACAATATAAATCTTTAAAATAAAAACAATCATTACATTCACACCAGCAATAATACATGCAATGTTGTGCAAATCAAAAACCCAATAGAATATTTGACCTATATTCATGAAAATCTCAGATGGTTTTTTTTTTCAATGATATGCATACGACTCAACATTTGCGCAAACTCTTCATGAGAGCAAAACCAAAAGGTGATTAAAGTTACGGAAAAGCTAACTTGCCGGGTATATGGTTGACTAAAGAAAACTCGCTAATTTTGCCACAAACTACAGTAAGCTACTAAAAATAACAATACAGTAACGCAGGTTACTTGGTTGTGAATCGACCGATTCGTGGTTCAGATGGATTTATCAGTTGGATGTACTTGCACTCCACTGGGGAGACTCGAACCTCGTACCAATCGCTTCAAACGTCAAAGCAGCGTTATCCATCAGGATACTGAGGCACGATAGCCACCTCTTGTACAACAAGTATTAATTATTACTATTTGTTGATATACTTATAATTCTCCATTGTTATATTGGGGGTGATGAGCTACATCTACTGTGTGTGTGGGAGAGGGTTGATGACACTACTATCTGGCGGACTGCCCAAACCACCTCGGTAAGTACAGGTGTGTTCAAACCCGTGATCCATTACTAATCGGAAGTCAACTCTCTAAAACCAATAGGTTACAGGTTACAAAAACTTAGTACAACGTGAACATTAAGAAATGCGCCACAAGTGTTTACTTTTCTTCTTATAGGTTGTATAGAATTCAAAGCATTCACCTAAGCAAGGGAATTACATCATTTTTGAAATAAGCAAACATAATGACAATGAAAATTTGTTTGGTTGTTGTGAAGAGAATCACAGTTTACGTGCAATGATAATTAGAAGAGAAAGTAAGTAAGTTTAGATTTGGAAAAAAAAGCGACTAAATAAAACGGCAACATTATATACGCATGATTACACAGATTAAAAGTAAAATATATACACATGTAGAATAGGCGATGAACACACACACACACAATTAAAACAGTCCGGTTAACCACCTTTGGCGAACAGCTGATAGACAGATAGATAGATAGGTACACTTACCCCAATCACCATAAGGTGCTTTAATTTGAGCTATTTCAGTTATAAAATATGAGAGTTTCTGTTGTGTAGCGACATCAAAAGTGGTACAGAAGACAACAACACTCATTACAACAACAACAATAATAATAGCAAATAATAATAATAATGGCGACAAGAGGCAAATATATTCGCACAAAATAAGAATTCATCAATATCAACATAGGATCAGGCATAAAAACTGCGCAACAGTCCAACTTGCCACTTCAGTCAGCAAAGCACTTGCATGAAAGACAAAGAAGGAAAGAGCAATCGGTTAAAAGGAGTAGAAGAGACGAAGAAGAAAGTGCTGTTTTAGTTTAGTTGCTTTTAATCCTTTCCCAGTCTGAACCTACTTCAGCCAAAACTACGCGACCGGGTAGATGGTGACTAGGCGTTCGTGTCACATGTCCCAGCCGTCTCAGTCGATTAAGGCTAACAACCACACATCCTCTTTCGCCTGAAACTCTACACCTGACTTCTGTGTGACTCATTTGGTAACACTACGATACATGGGCTACTCTACGAAGTTGACATCTAACCTTTAATAATCATGTTTCACAGCCATAGAGTAAAACAGAGAGAACGGTAGCACAGTACAGTACACGATGCTCAATAGAGAATCGAATGTTGGAAATGGAACAGGATTGGTCAAAAACAACAGAAAAGAGGAAGGAGAAAGCACTGAATTCAGTGTGACCACTGACATGATTCTAAGGCATATCATCTAGAATCTCTAACGACTAGTTTCTCCATTATCATATGGGCCGCAACCGGTTAGTCTGCATCTCCCTACACGGCTCAAACTCACAGTCAGGGTTTATTTGTAGAAAATCAGAACCGTGCATAGTGATCATTAGTATCAACACAGGACGGTACCGTATTGATGATTAGAAAGACCTACTTCGCAAAGCTTCTATGATTTTGCCTCTGTCTGTCTGAAATCTTTTCATGAAACATCTGTGGTAAAAAAGTAAGTTAATGTCGGGTAACTTAGCCTTATGGATACATCGTATTCAATTACTGGCAGCCTTTAACATAGAATGCTAGATGGAAGGGTTCTCTTACTTCCTGTATATGATGACCAATCCACATATACAATATAGATGTTCAGATGGTTAATAAAGTCCAGAAAACTTAAGTAATATTTATCTCTTTTATTGAATAATTCAGTCGAATATCTCAGGGAAACGACGAGTTTCTGTGCCAATCTATGGATAAACTTTGTTGATTACATAGTGAGCAGAAAATGCAAACCTACAGCCACTATTTTGCAAGTAAAAACAATGTTTTTTGAGACTAACAACTTCTCAGTCTAATGCAATAACATGATTGATGTATCAATGCTTTCCCAAATAGTAATAGCAGTAAAAAAAACCCAGCTTAAATGATCACCCACTTGAGATGGGGAGAATCGATGTCAGCCAAGGATGAACAGTGCTAAAAAATATCCACCACTGAACACTAAAAATAAACGATTTAATGGTAACATATATTCAACGAGAGACGAGATCTGTGAAAGCATAATCAGCACACATTATTGAATACGTTATACACCTCAGTGAAACAGTTGTCTTTCTACCCGAAGTTTAAAGTAATGCTTCAAATGGCTTCGTGGAATATATTATTTCATGGTTAAAGTACAAAAAAATATTTACTGGTAGTATGAGAATGCATGCACACCAAGGTATGCAAAACAGAAATCAGACAACATAAATCAGTATAATTAATCAGCGGAACAAAATACAACAATTGTGGTGCATTAAAACATTTTAGAAAGTAGTATAATAAATAAGTGAAAAAAGTTGCCTAAAATTTATATGTAGCAACAAAACTTATTCACATATAATTTAGACTTGAAAAGAATTAATTTGCATAATTCTATTCATTTTATGCAACCTCGCGTGGTTAACTAGTTCACTAGTTACTAGCTGGTCCTAGGACCGGGTATAGAGGGAAGGTTGGGCATAGGGATAGCAACTCTACCCCGTAAAACAAATCCAATAGCTAAAGAAACTTCAAAGCACAAACAAAATATCAAAAACAAAAACAAAATTATTCTTCGCTGGAATCGGAGAAACGAAATGACGCCAGTTGGTGAAAGCCTTCAGGAAGCCAGTTGGCAGATGTGTCTTCTCTCCCTCGATGAAAGCGAAAGTAAACGTGGGGACATGGAATGTCCGCATCATATATGAACCTAGCAAGACTGTCCAGATTGCAAAAGAGATAGGGAGGTATAGCATGGAAGTGCTAGGAATTTGCGAAGGCAGATGGATTGCAAGTGGACTCTCCAAACTACCAACTGGAGAATCAATAACCTACTCCGGTCACCCAGACGACAACCACAAGCATACTGAGGGACTGGCTATCATGATGTCCCCAAGAACATCGAAGGCTCTCATACAGCGGGAACCAGTCTCCTCCTGCAGGATTATGACAGCAACATTCAACTCGAAAAGAAGGAAGGTCATAATCATTCAATGCTACGCACCTACAAATAATGCAGATCAAGAGAAAAAGGAGGAATTCTACAGACAACTGCAATCAGTACTAGACAAGACTCCAGTTGCCGACATTAAAAGTCTAATGAGTAGGGCGACATGAATGCCAAACTCAGAGCGGACAACACAGGAAGAGAACTAACCATGGGTCGAGAAGCACTCGGTGAGGCGATGAAAGAGAGTGTAGAATTGATTGCAGAATTCTGTGCATTCAACGATTTGGTGATTGGAGGCGGCCTGTGCAAACACAAGGATATTCACAAAGCGATATGGACTTCACCAGACACCAGGACACACTAAAAATCAGATCAACTTCACGTCAATCTCACGAGAGTGGAAATGCAGCCTACTGGACAAAAGATCAAGAAGAGGAGCAGATGTAGATTCACACCACTCACTATCTATTGCAAGAAACCTACCTTCCAAATCAAGTTGAAAGCCTTGAAAGAAGTTGGTGATAGATCACAGTTCAAGTTCAACACCCCAAAACTGAAGGACGAAACTACAGAGGACATCTTCACGTCAGCCATCAGAACAAAATGGGAAACACTGAGCAACTTCCCTGATGGAACCTGCGTGGAAGAACACTGGAACTCTTTGAAAGGGATATGGAAAGAAACCTGCATAACTGTATTAGGAAGATAGAAGAAGAGACAAGACAAGGAATGGATCTCGACGAACACATGGAAGCTGATGGACGAGAGGAAGATGGTGAAGCAAAAGATAAACCAGTGCAAGGATGCACAATGAAAAGAAGAACTAAGTACCATGTGCAAAACACTACACTGGACAAAGAAGTGAAGAAGAGTGAACGCAAAGACAAAAGACACTTCTACAAAACACTGGCAAGTGAAGCAGAATAGGCTGCTGGTAGGAGAGACTTGACAACATTGTATCAAATAACCAGGTTACTATCTGGGAAGCGATCAACGCAGACGAAACCAATGAAAGATAGTGAAGGAAAGCTTGTTACAAAAAAGGAGGAAAATAAGGAAATAATGGGCTGACCACTTCAAAAAACTCTCAGATCGACCACCACTAACTACCACCTGCAACTCGTTCGGAAATACCACAAGCAACGGCAGAACTACAACTGAACACAGACCCTCCAACAAAAGCAGAAATCCTGAACGCCATAAAACTACTGAAATCCGACAAAGCAGCAGGACTAGATGAAATTCCGTCAGAAGCACTGAAAACATGCAGAGACAACAGCGGACATGCTCACACCACTACTGCAGAAAGTTTCCAAGGAAGCAAGGAAAGGTACCTGCCCACTGATTGGAAGAAGGGATACCTTGTCAAACTTCCAAAGAAGGGAGACGTAAACCGTTGCAAGAACTGGCGAGGAATCATGCTCCTGTCCACCCAAAGCAGGCAAAATATTATGCCACATCATCCTAGAAGATGTTCTGGATCTAAAATTAGGACCGGAACAGACTGGCTTCAAGAAGAACAAATCATGTGTGGATCAAGTTGCAACCCTATGCATCATCATCAATGAACAGAGCATAGGATAACAGTCAACTCAACTCTCTACCTCAACTTCATCGACTGTGAAAAGGCCGACATTCGACAGTGTCGACCATGAAGTAATTTGGCAGTTGCTTCAACACTACGGTTTTAGTGCCACAAATCTTTATCAACCTCATTCAACAGCTATATGAAGACACCACATCCCAAGTGATCCACAATGAAAAGCTCAGTAACGCCTTTGAAGTGAAGACAGGAGTAAGACAAGGAAGGCTGCCTACTATCACCGATGGATAAACATTTTTCACCTACGTACCGTATATCAAGATCCAGCTGGACATTTCTTATAATATATTCACCTTTACTAAGAAAAGATGGATTGAAAAATAATCAGGCTGACAAAATGGTGTTAGGAAAAGAAGCCGAATCTAAAACTGTCACAAGTATCGGCCTAAAGAGCCATATGATTCTACATACCAAGTGATTCACAACGAAAAGCTCAGTGATGCCTTCGAAGTGAAGACAGGAGTAGAACAAGACAAGGTTGCCGCCTACTATCACCAATCATCTTCTTGGTTGTGGTCGACTGGACTGGATCATGCAAGAAACAGCTGTGAGGAGCGAGAAGACGGGCATACGCTGTTTGACCGATGAAAAGATCCTAGAAGGTTTGGATTTCGCCCATGATGATTAATGTCGAATGTCTTGTCGCACAAACTGGAAGATCTACAGGCTAAAACTAACAAGTTGACAGAAGAGGCAGGGCAGGCCAGCGAAAACGGGACTTCAAGTGAACGCAGAGAAGACGGAGGTGATGAAGATACCCAACCAACAACAGCATCTAAAACAAGAGGCACCAATCAGCATTAACAGGAGGAACCTAAACGAAGTAGTCTCTTTCACCTACACCTACACCTACACCTACCTAGGCAAGACAGCATCGTTTCAACTACAGGTAGTGGGAGAGATGAGGATGTCAAAGCCAGCCAGGATCGGAAAGACAGCAAGACAGGCTTTCATTAATCTCAGTAGATCAGTGTG